TCTTTACTCTATGTTTCCAAACTAATAAAACAAGAACCTATAGTCACCACGCAGAGAAAATTATAAATCAATTTTTTTCATTGTCAACATTTGGTCACTGTTATACTATTAACATTAACTCATATTTTATATTATGTTCTTCACTATTCACAACTCTTGAAAATACTTATCAACCATTTTTCTGTCAATATTATTTTTTCGACATTTTTACGCCCAACCAAGGAATAATGATGTCGTTCATTCATTCATTGTCTATTTATTATGTCATTGCAATATAGAAAAAAAAGAATCATTGTTTTCATTGACGATATCAGTCAAATAGAACGAGTCATTATATATATAATACTTACAATTATTGATATTTATAGGATAAGAAAAATAGATCAACATGGAATATTCATCTATTCAATTGAATGATTTATCTGATGAAATTCTTCTAATTATTTTCAAAAACTTAAACAATATTGATCTACTTTACTCTCTGATAGGTGTTAATAAACAACTCAATAACATTGTACATGATTCTATGTTTACTAGTAGTTTAACATTATTCAATCATTCATCATATAATAATATTTATCCATTATCTGATTTAATGCTTGATCGATTTTGTTTCCAAATCTTACCTTCGATTCATCACAAAATTAAATGGATTGATGTTGAAGTATCATCTATGAAACGTATTCTTTCTGCAAATTATCCGATTTTATCTGGACTTGGTATATACAACATTGAAAAAGATACTGATTTAGATATATTTACTGGTAAGATATTTTTATCTCAATTCTAATAAGAATTAATAGATGAAAATTCAAATGATTTAGTTAGAGGATTACACATTTCATTTCTATTTTGTTTATATAAAAAGAAAAGAATAATCTTTTGTGAAACATGATCTAAAAGGAATTTTGAAGTATAGAGCAGAAAATTTCGACTCACTATCCCTCATCTACAGACATGAGAAATGGTTTATTACCTACTGTGACCGATACCTTAGCAGTGTCACTCTTAAGAGATGATGACAAATTTTCTTAATAACGATACATCACAGACGTTGCGAGACACAGCTTTTTTACAATAATTTTGTATTTATTTTTAGATGAAACTTCTTTAATGTATATATTGAAAAATCAAATTTCATCACTCATGATTGAATCTAGTAGGAAACAAGGTAGACCACGTGATGTGAATACACGTATATTTACAAATATCTTAAATACTTTTATTAATTTACAATATTTTAAGTTTCATTCATGGTTTTCTTCTTTTCAACGGATCTCATTCAGATATTTACCTCCAACTATCTTTTCATCCACTCTATTAGGATTGCGTGTCAAAGTTAGCTCGGTTGATGATTGTCTTTTTTTACTTG